TAACTGTGACTGCCACTGGACAGGCTGCGGACACTCTAAGGGAGGAGCAGGACCAGTAGAGGGCGGGAGACCAAGAACCTGCTCAAGGAGCGGAACGAAGTACGGCCTCGGCCGCGCAGCGCCTCCAGAACCAGCAACGACAGCACCAGTACCCCCAGCGGCAGCACCAGCGCCCGCAGCACCTCCAGCTCCAACAGCGCCAACTCCAGCACCCTCAGACGCACCAGCGCCAGCAGAAACACCAGCGCCAACACCCCCAGCAGCTCCAGCTTTAGCAGCTCCAGCAGCACCAACTCATGCAGGACCGGCAGCTCCAGTACCGCCAGCAGCTCCAGCAGGACCAAGTCCAGTAGCCCCAGCAGCACCCCCAGTCCGAGCAGCTCCAGTACCGCCAATACGAGTACCTCTGGGACCAGCAGCAACAGTAGTACCTCCAGCTCTAGCAGCACAGCTCCAGCGCCGGGCAAACCACTTGCGCAGCTCCTGTGGAGAGAGGGGCTCCCGCCTCGACGAAGCACCGCCGGCGGCCACACGAACAGACCCAGCGCCCCCAGGCTCCGCACCCCCAGGATCCGCAACCCCAGGCTCCGCACCCCCTGACTCAGCACCCCCAGGCTCAGCACCTCCAGACTCAGCACCCCCAAGCTCAGCACCCCCAGACTCAGCACCCCCAGTCTCAGCACCCCCAGCCTCACCACCTCCTGACCCGGCACCCGCAGGCTCAGCAGCTCTAACAGCACCAGAGTCAACAGCTACCTCGACAGGCTCGACTGCGTCTACCTGGGACACACCTGACGGGGCAGAACCCTGAGGGGGGAGGGGGTCTACCGGTGGAGGACCTGGCGCAAGGAAGAGCGGGGGCGGGGGAAGGAGCGCAGTGCGGTAGGGGAAGAGACGGTAGTAAGGTACCGACTCGTCAAAGGTGACGTCTTGGGAGGACAGAACACGGCGCGAGGTGGGGTGGTAAAACTGCCACCCAGGCGCGTCAGGGGGGAAGCCAAGGAAGACGCAGGGAACAGCACGGGGGGAGAGCTTGTCCGCAGACAAGTCGCGGACAAACGCCCGAGATCCCCAGACCCGAAACGCAGACGCATCGCCAACCTTCCCCGTCCACCGCAAGGTGGGGGAGGTCTCTGGGAAGGAGACCCGGTGCTGAAGGTTGAGCTGATGCGCGGCGTACTGAACCGCAAACGGCCACAGAAGATGCGGGGCAGCCGCATGCATTATGGATGTACGAGCGACGTCCATGACCATGCCAATGCGGCGCCCAGCAATCCCATTTTGCTGTGGAGAGGCCGGAAGCGTGAAGGTCTGGCGGATGCCCTGTGCACGACAAAAGGCTCCCAGACGGGCAGAGGAAAACTCCCCGCCTCTGTCAGAGTGCAGACGCAGAACATGAAAGTCCGAGCCGAAAATCTCTCTGAGCTGGAGACGAGCTGTGCGGATCCAGTCGATCAACACCTCAGTGACGTCACCCTTGCTGCGCAAAGGGAAGACTATGGTGTAACGCGAGTAGTCGTCAACCACCAACAGGAAGTAACGCGCGTGCCCCTGTCCACGGACGCGGGCGGGGCCCCACACGTCCATGTGAAGAGTCTGCAGCGGAGCCTCTGTCGAAGGAAACTCGGAGGAGTGAGGGGCGGCGCGCTGTCGCCCCTCGACGCAGGGGACGCAGGTAGAGGCAGGCCCCGGAGGTAGGGGATGGAGAGACCGGGGAAGACCAGAGACAAGGACACGGGAGGCCATGCCTCGGAGACGAGGCAGGGAGGGGTGACCAAGGCGGTGGGGCCAAAGGAGAGTCTGGTGGGACAGGAGACGACACGAGCGGGGAGCAGACTTAGGACCAGACCTGGACGCTGCAGCAAACACCTGACTCGACGCAGCTACCTGACCAGACTCAGCAGTCGGAGGAGACTCAGTAGTTATTGTGTACAGGCTCGACCCCGGCCGACGGGTGAACGTGGCCAAGTGTCGGCCTGTCCGAGCACACGTGCAGTGGGTCACCCGCTGACTCGCAGGAGTGAACTGGTCAACCCCCCTATCCTGTAGATCAGCTCCACTCACCAAGTTTGTAGAGAACGAGGGGAGGTAGAGACCTGACAGGGTGCCAGAGGGGGCTGCCGGGCACAGTAAGACAGTGGAGAAGCTAGCAAAAATAGGACCCCCAGAGGGGTCCGCCAGGGAGACCGCAACCGGCCGACTAAGCGGCGTAAGCGTGGTGGGGTCTCGAAAGAAGGAGCGGGAAGCACCCGAGTCAAGGGTGAAGGTGTGTAAGGCCTGAGCCGACGTGGTACCTGAGAGAGCAGACTCACCAGCACCTGGGGCACTAGACGCACTAGCACCTAGAGCAGCAGCCTCACCAGCACCTAGAGCAGCAGACTGGATACCGGGGTCAGGCGGCACACACAGGTGACAGACTCCCTTGGCACTAGTAGACAATGCATACATTGCAGTGAGAATAGCATCATTGTCAAGAGCAAAGATTTCTACCCTCTGCCTAAGCAGCTCCACCCAGTCGGGGAGCTCAGCGTCGTCGCCAAACTCTGTACGCCAAGTGTCGCTCAGACGGGCGAAGCAGCGGGACTCTGTGTGACCACGCGTCCCGCAAGTCTGACCAGTCCGGACAGCCGTGCTAATAACGTACGGGCAGCGAGCAGTACTCAGCGACCCTCCACTCTGAGCGTACCACTCACGAAGCTGCTGGGGTGAAAAAGTCTCGCGCGGACAACGCTGCTACTGCACCGGGCCACTACAAGAAACTCCCGAACTACCCACTCCAGGACGACTCCCACTACTGCCACCCCGACAACCCCAACTGGTGTACCACTCACGAAGCTGTTGGGGGGTGAGGGACTCACGCGGGCGACGCAGGAGCTGCATCCTGCCACTACAAGCAGCTGCGGAACTACTCATTCCAGGACGACTCCCACTACGGCCATCCCGACAACCCGAACTAGCGTACCACTCACGAAGCTGTTGGGGGGTGAGGGACTCACGCGGGCGACGCTGGAGCTGCATCTGTCCACGCCGGGAGCAGCAGTAGCAGTAGAAAGAGCAGCAGTAGTAAGAGCAGCAGTAACAGCAGTACGGGCAGGGCACTGCTCACCAGTGGCGAGAAGGGCAGGCGGACGAAGGCGGCAACGGCGATGCCGCTACCACTGTAGAGCGAGAGCTCCACGGCAGCTGAAGTGGCGGCTTCTCCAGGGGTGGCTGCTGCAGTGGCGGCTGCTCCAGGGGCGGCTGCTGAAGTGGTGGCTGCTCCAGGGGCGGCTGCTGCAGTCGCGGCTGCTCCAGGGGCGGCTGCTGCAGTGGCGGCTGCTCCAGGGGCGGCTGCTGCAGTGGCGGCTGCTCCAGGGGCGGCTGCTGCAGTGGCGGCTGCTCCAGGGGCGGCTGCTGCAGTGGCGGCTGCTCCAGGGGCGGCTGCTGCAGTGGCGGCTGCTCCAGGGGCGGCTGCTGCAGTGGCGGCTGCTCCAGGGGCGGCTCCTGTAGTGGCGGCTGCTCCAGGGGCGGCTGCTGCAGTGGCGGCTGCTCCAGGGGCGCCTGCTGCAGTGGCGGCTGCTCCAGGGGCGGTTGCTGCAGTGGCGGCTGCTCCAGGGGCGCCTGCTGCAGTGGCGGCTGCTCCAGGGGCGGCTGCTGCAGTGGCGGCTGCTCTAGGGGCGGCTGCTGGAGTGGCGGCTGCTCCAGGGGCGGCTCGACTGCTGGGCGACTCGGCGGCTCAGGTGCTGGGTGGCTCGGCGGCTCGGCTGCCCGCTAGGGGCAGCGACGGGGCCGGGTAGGGGCGGCGACGGGGCCGCTAGGGGCGGCGATGGGGCCGCGTAGGGAGGGGAGCGGCGACGAGGCCGCTAGGGGCGGCGACGGGGCCGCGTAGGGGCGGCTACGAGGCTGCGTAGGGGCGGCGACGGGGCCACGTAGGGAGGGGAGCGGCGACGGGGCCGCTAGGGGCGGCAATTGGATCGCGTAGGGGCGGCGACGGGGCCGCGTAGGGGCGGCAACGGGGCCGCGTAGGGAGGTAAGCGGCGACAGGGCCGCTAGGGGCGGCAACGGGGCCGCTAGGGGCGGCGACGGGGCCGAATAGGGGCAGCGACGGGGCCGCGTAGGGGCGGCGACGGGGCCGCGTAGGGAGGGGAGCGGCTACGGGGCCGCTAGGGGCGGCGACGGGGCCGCGTAGGGGCGGCGACGGGGCCGCGTAGGGGCGGCAACGGGGCCGCGTAGGGAGGTCAGCGGCGACGGGGCCGCTAGGGGCGGCGACGGGGCCGCTAGGGGCGGCGACGGGGCCGCGTAGGGGCGACTACGGGGCCGCGTAGGGAGGGGAGCGGCTACGGGGCCGCTAGGGGCGGCGACGGGGCCGCGTAGGGGCGGCGACGGGGCCGCTAGGGGCGGCGACGGGGCCGCGTAGGGGCGGCAACGGGGCCGCGTAGGGAGGGAGGCGGCAACGAGGCCGCTAGGGGCGGCGACAGGGCTGCTAGGGGCGGCGACGAGGCCGCGTAGGGGCGGCGACGGGGCCGCTAGGGGGCGCGAGGGGCCTGGAAGGGCGGCTACGGGGCCGCTAGGGGCGGCGACGGGGCCGCTAAGGGTGGCGCGAGGGGCCGTGAGAGGGGCCTCTAAGAGAGGTCGTCAGAAGGGCAGCCCACAAGGCGCGCCTCGAGCAGGAGCGACTGTCGCTCCGGTCAGAAAAAAAAAGGTTCAGTGGTGGGCCCAAGGAAGCATTCCCACTATTGAACCTGCTCTATACCATGTGAAGAAATGAGGAATGAATGAACTAGCAAGCAGGTGGGTACAGGTAGGAAAACCTAGGAGTGTTGTACCCTATATTGTCTACCCCACTACAGCCTACACAGACTATAGCATATGAGTTTGACACTCAACACTAGCAGTCACAGCATATATGGCAGCAAGGATAGCATCATAGTCAAGATCAAAGATGGCAACCCCCGCCCTAGACAGATCTCCCCAGCGAGGGATCTCTGACGCCTCAGGGAACTGGTGACGCCACGCGTCCGTCAGGCGGCCGAAACAGCGCTGGGTGGAGTGCGGGCCCCCGCACTGCTCACCAGCGCGGTCGCCGGTACGGAGGACGTAAGTGCAGGGACCAGTACCCCCACCGCGCTGAAGCGCAGCGTACCACTCACGAAGCTGCTGAGGGGACAGGGTCTCACGACCGCGCTGCTGCTGCTGGCGCGGACCACCACCGGACCCACTCCTCTGCGCAGAGTCGCGACCAGCTCCACCGCCGCCGCCGCCGCCGCCTCCGCCACCTCCGCCACCTCCGCCACCTCCGCCGCCTCCGCTCCCTCCGCCACCGCCGCCGCCTCCTCCGCCTCCACTGCTGCCACCGCCGCCGCCACCCCCGCCACCACTCCCACCACCACCCCCACCCCCTCCACTGCCACCACCACCACCTCCACCGCCCCCGCTAGCCCCTCCAGCTCCCTTGCCCCCCTACCCCTTGCCGGTGCGGCGTCTCCCGCTAAGGGCAGACGCGGCGCCGACCCCTTAGAAACCAACGAGGTCGGCAGCAGCAGCAGAAGCAACAGAGGGCAAGAGGGGGGAGGGGGAACACCCCTCAAAGACGGGGATGCAAGGGTCACCACGAGAGGCTCCTACAGCGACTATGCTCTTCTCTGCTGCTAGGAGGCGCTCCTTGAGGAGGTCAACGGTGAGTGTGGTCGGGCAAACTGAGAGGAAGTGGTCCCTGACTAAGCGAAGAGAGTCAGGGAGCTGGGTGACTATGTAGTAGAGGGTGATGTACATAGGGGGGGGGTTCTTGGCGCAGAACTCAGTGGGAAGCGCAGCGCGGTAGCGAGTGTCACTAGTGCGGAGGTGCGTAATGAGGTCAGCGACTGTGGGAAAGGCAGCAAGGTCAGGGAAGAGGTACGGTAGCATGAGGCGGCTCAGTGCAGCAGTGGCAGGGGAAGAGTAGCGTGCAACTACAGCGTCGTACAAGGTCTGAGCACTCTTGTACTGGCTAAAGTGCGCACGCTCAATGGCCGGTAAGTGGCGACGCACTGCAAGACGGGCAGCAGCATCGCGTGTCGCCCACTGTGAGCGAACAGTGCTGTCAGCGGTGGCAGGCGGGGCAGGGAAGGCACCAGAGGTGAGGTCGAACAGGGAGAGGCCGTCTGCCCTATCGCACTGGAGGAACAGCTGGAGGTCATCGACCCAGACCTCAAAGTCAACAGCATGACCCTCAGTATCAAAGGTAAGAAAACTGGGGGTAGCCATGACTGCAGTGGCCTAGCAAGGAGTGAGCTCACTAGTCGGAGTAAGTAGGGCAGGGGCGCGCCGGTAGGACGAGGAGCGGCTCGACGGCAGGGCTGCTCGGCTGCTGGGCGGCTCGGCTGCTGGGCGGCTCGGCTGCTGGGCGGCTCAGCGGTTCGGCTGCTGGGCGGCTCGGCGGCTCGGCTGCTGGGCGGCTCGGCGGCTCGGGTGCTCGGTTGTCGGGCGGCTCGGCTGTTGGGTGGCTCGGCGGCTCTGCTGCTGGGCTGCTCGGTAGGGGCGGCGTTGGGGCCGTTAGGGGCGGCGACGGGGCCGCTTAGAGAGGGGAGCGGCGACGGGGCCGTGTAGTGGCGGCGACAGGGCCGCTTAGAGGCGGCGACAGGGCCGCGTAGGGGTGGCAACGGGGCCGCTTAGGGTCGGCGACAGGGCCGCTTAGGGTGAGAGGCGGCGACGGGGCTGCTAGGGGGCGGCGACGGGGCCGCTAGGGGCGGCGACGGGGCCGCGTATGGGCGGCGACGGGGCCGCGTAGGGTGAGAGGCGGCGACGAGGCCGATAGGGGCGGCGATGTGGCCGCTAGGGGCGGCGACGGGGCCGCGTAGGGGCGGCGACGGGGCCGCGTAGGGTGAGAGGCGGCGACGGGGCTGCTAGGGGCGGCGACGGGGCCGCTAAGGGCAGCGACGGGGCCGCGTAGGGGCGGTAACGGGGCCGCTAGGGGCGGCGACGAGGCCGCTAGGGGCCACTAGGGGCCTGGAAAGGGCGGTAAAAAAAGGCGCGCCTCGGGCAGGAGCGACTGGCGCTCCGGTCAGAAAGGAAGTTTTCAGTGGTGGGCCCAAGGAAGCGTTCCCACTAGGGAACTGCTTTGATACCATGTGAAGAATAAGGAATGAATGAACTAGCACAAGGTTGGGTACAAGTAGGAAACCCTACGAAACTGTACCCCATAGTGTCTACCCCACTATAGCCTACACAAGCTATATAATATGAGTTTGACACAGACCGTATTAAGGAATCCAACAACATCGCTAAGCGCAACGCCGATTGCCACCGCCGCCGTGCCACTTACCAACCTGACGACCTAGTGTTACTCAACACCCGAAACCTCCGCGTGCCCATCACTCCGAAACTCGGCCCACGATATTGCCGGCCATTCTGAATTAGTCATATGATTACACCTTTCTGCCCACCTCCTATTATAACATTCTGACACCTCCTCCTTCCTGCTGTCTGGTACGTCACCCTGCTCCGCTCATACGTCCCATCAACCAGCCAAGTTCCTCGCAACTGCCCAGCCAGCATGACGCGACCGCCCATAGAGTCGATCATCACACCTAAGAAAATCACGAGCCACCAAGTTCGCGACCCACATGGGGCTCGCAAGATCTCGTTTCTAATTTGCTGGAAAGACCGCACACCCACCGAGGACAACTGGTGCCACTCGATAGGATTGAATATTACCCCGTCCTCACCGAGTATCTCCGCAGCTGCAATTTCCGGGATGTTTACGCACTCTTGTAAAGGGAGCCTCCTTGGGGAAGGGGGTAGTGCAAGGAAAAATCATTTTCCTTACTTCGCACCCTTGCTTATCGCGTACACGACTGTTCCCACCAATAGTACCCAACAGTGCACCGTTACCACTCGCGACACTCGTCTCGACCACTGTTCCTACCACTGTTCACGACTCAACCCAACCTTACGGTTCGGTTGGTAACCTGCGCTTGGCCCGTAGCACACCCCAATTTCTCGCGTTACCGTTTCCACGTTAGCTTCTCTATATAATATTTGCTCATTCCTTCGCTCAATGGACTGTTTTGCTTGGATAGTGCAATTCTAGCTCGCTCGCTCAATTGCACTCATAACAGATAGCTATATGGGGAAGGTGTGGCTATCTGTGATAGCATTGTGATCACCTGCGATAGTTATGAACCGTACTGTGACTGTCTGTGATACCCGTGTGACCAAACTTGATAAAATAGGGCCTTATTGTGACTGCCCGTATAATTTCCCTTGAGGTTCTCCGGCGAGGTAGGTGAGCTGAAGGGTGCTTTTTTGTGCTTAGGTCAGGAATGGTTTACACTCGAAGTGTGACCTGCCCTTGTGGAATGGAAGCACACTGTTCATGGATGCACAAACTTTGATCATGTGCGTTGAGGGGGTGTCCAGCTCGTACATTTACTGTTCGTAAGCCCGCTCAGTTACCACATTTTTTGTTGTAACAATGTATTGAACGTGTCCTGCGGACACAATCAGCTTTCGTTCACAAGACGGCACGCCCCCTGCACGTACCTCGAGTCGTCTGACTCACGTTACTGGAATCAGCGGGGACGCGAACAAGGCTACAGCACCGCGTCCTGGCCACTACAGCCGTGCCCCCTATATCGCTTGCATAATTTCGCCATAATTTCGCTACACTCGCCAACACCCACCCCCCCCCCCCCCCCCCCCCCCACCCCGCCTGCCAAAAAATTCGTTAGATATGATTGACAAGGGAAACGGTTACCTCGTTTCGAACACGATCAGAGCACTGTTGATTCGTGTGGCGGAGAACGTGTCCGCGCTCCTGAAATTACAGGCAGGTGGGACTCAACTCACAATGCATTCGTTTTTAGGTACAGTGATTATTTTTGAACCTCGAGACGTGTGTTGGCACAAAAAAACCCGAAATGAACGAACTGGATACGCCCTGATCTTCTGTACAGTACACGACGAACCATCCCTCCCTTCCCATCCCGCCCATCCCATCCCAGCTTCAGTCCGCCTCTGCGTCGCTATGTGGTTTGCTGCATCACTCCATGCTGCGTTCCACTCCACCACACATCCATGACTGGTGAGTCGTGATGTCAAACATGTAAGGAAAGGATACATTCACACTCTCGATTCCCGACACGGGGCCTGACTTAGATGTCAGATTCAGGAGAATAGCTCGCAGCGCAGTCTCCATCTCGTCAGCCCAAATTTAGTACCTCAACCTACACTACCCTCCCCAATAACCTCGATTACAACAGCCTCGGTACAACCAAACAGAATCAGTGCAGAGTATTTGTTAGTCTGACGAACTATGCACCCAGGCGCGATGTACGCGTAGAATGCGGCCCCACTGGGACCCTCCCACGGGCCCCGCCTCGTAACCCGCTAGTACACGGGCTCGAAAAATCGTTCACCATGCAGTCTGCGCTCGATGGTCGCCCCGCCCGGAGCCCCCGCGGGAGCTTCTCCGAGTGTCCGCAGCAATGCGCGGAGATCCAGGGTACTGCACTCTCGATGGCGGAATTCCGCCCCTCCCCCGCCCCCGCTCCCGGCGCCTTCGCCCCCACCGGCTCCCGTCCGCAATCCCGCGGCCAAAAGCCTTCCTTCCCCCGCTCCGCTTCGCTGGGCGCTGGCGGAAAATCCTCCTCCGTACCTCCCCCTGCGTCCAGCGCAGCGCATGAGCGCAAACTCCGCAGGCGCTCGTCCGCGGCGGGGTCGGCGGGAGCGGGCCTCGGCGCACGAGTCGCGGCGGCGGCGGCGGCCGCGGCTGCATCCGTGGCAGCGGCAAAAGCGGCTCCGCTGGTTGCTCCTACGGTTGATGAGCTTTCCGTCGCGGCGCAAGCGGCGGAGACTGCTGCGGAGGCGGCGGCGGCGGCGGCGGCGCAGCGGATCGTGAAAGCGGGGGAGCTGATGGAGCGGCTGCACCAGCCGACGGCGCACGAGTTGCGGCAGCAGCGTGAAGAGGCGGAGCGGAGGGAGAAAGCGCGGGAAGAGATGCTGGAGAGGCGGCGGAACGAAGAGCGGCGAAAACAGGGGCTGGTAACCCGCGCGGCGACGATCATCGCGACCGCGGGGATGCCGGGCGCGCGGGAGTTCCGCGCGGAGCAGGAGCGGCGGGAGGAAGAACGGCGCGCGGAAGAACTGCGCGAGCAGGAGCGGGGGGAGGCGGAAGAGCGGCGATTGAGGGAAGAGGAGGAGCGGCGCCTGCAGCTGAAAACCCGGGCGGCGACGATTGTCGCTAATGCGCCGTCGTGGGAAAATCCGGAAAAACCGGGCGTGATTGCGAGAGAATCGTCGCCTTTGCAGTTGCCGCGACGTCGCCCACTGACGCTACAGATCGACGACACGATCGGCGATTGTAACGTTGTAACAGTCGCTTCTCCCGCGATAGGCTCTGCCAGGCCTCCGCGGCAAGGCGCTTGGGGGTCGGAACGCAGCCCGCGATCAGCGCCGCTAGCGACGGCGGCGTTCGCGTCCGCGCAATCAGCGATGGCGGGAGCGAAGTCCCCCGGATCGATCTCCCGGGGCGCGGCGCGCTCTTTCGGGTCCCCCTCACCCATGTCACTCCTTCCGCCCAAGTCTCCCGCTGCGCAGACCTGGGGTGCCGCGGAGCGCAGTAACACTACGGGTAGTAGCAGCGCAATTCACGGCAAAAACACGACTACTTCTAGCAGCAGCTCCAGCCGTATCCCGAGGGCCTCGCACGGCGCGTCGGTCATAGAAAGGTCAACTAGGAGAGGCGACTCGATGGATTCAACTAGCGATCGCTTAGTAGCAGTGGAAGAGGACGACTGGGGTCGCACGGGGATGGAGAGGAGACGCGAGAGGAGGAGAGGAGGCAGCGAAGGGTGCGGGCTTGAGTTGACGGATGACTGGGCGGAGGGTCATGATGATGATGTTCCTGTAGCGAGAACGCTTGTACCGGTTGCGCTTGTACCGAGTACAAATGTAGCGAGCAGGTGGGAGCGTGAAACTAGCTTGTCGGATCTGCCTCTAGATTCTGCGTCAGTGGCAGTCATGTCTCCCGAGCTTCCCCTCGCGGGCACGCCTCCGCCGAGCCTGGCGCTCTCGCCCCCCCGCCTGATCGACTTGCAGATTGATCTGCACGATAGCCCTTCCTCCCCACTCCCTCTCTCCCCGTCTCCCCGCGCTCTTCCTCGCCACCCTTTCTCCCCTCACTCCCCCTCCCCTTACTGCCCCTTCCCTCACTCCCCGGTCCCCCGCTCCCCCTCCCAAGACGCTGCGAAATTCTATGGCGCATCGCCACTGCCTCCAGCCTTTCAGAGCGCGAGTAGAAAGAAGGATGCTCTACCCCCCCTTTCCCCCACCCGCATTCCCCCTCACGCCTTGGCCGCCAGCCCTGCCACCAAGGCTCGGTTCGCCTACCCCCGGAGCAAAATCTCTGCCGAAGCAGAAGGGTTGGCCAGGGAAGGCAAATCTGCCGAACCTGAGGATTCTCCAGGTTGGGATGATGTTGGTGAGGTGAACAGGGTGCAATCCCTAGGCGAACGGGTTCGAGGTTCGGGCCGAGCCTGTGCTGCCGAGGCTGAGGATGTGCCTAGTGGAGTAACCCGAGCCAAGACCGTGGAAGGCAGGATTGAGGGAAGCGGAGGTGGAAGAGGGAGGGGAGGAGCAGCAGGAGGAGCGAGAGAAGTGAGGGGAGTGGGTGAGGGTGTGAGAAGAGGGGAAGTGCCGCAGAGAAGACCTGAGAATCGGTTTCATAGTAAATCCATGGACTTAGGATCAGGAGGTATGGGATGCCGCAAGCAGCAAGCAGGAGGTGCACTAAACAGCCCGAGCAACCACAGCAGTCCGAGAAACCAGGGTAACCAGTGCAACCGGGGTAACCAGAGTAACTGGGATAACCAGAAAAGTCCGGGCGGCACAGCGGGTGTGGGAGACGGGAAGGCAAGGTTAGGCTCGGAAAGAATTGCAAGGAGAGGGCTTGTGAAGCATGCTAGTGTGGCAGAGAAGGGGAGAAGGGTGAGGAGAGGCGGGCACAGGAGGGCTGTTTCCTGGGCAATGCCGGGGGAATTGAGGTTGGAAGGGAGGGAGGATGGCGTGGGGAGTGAGCTGTTCTCCAGACAATCACCCGCTGCCACCGCTGATGGCGCTACTGGCGGCAGAGGCGAGGCGGACGCAAAGGCAAACTTGAGCGGCCCTTCTGAGCCGATTCAAATTCCTTCTGCTGTTGGTGCTGCTGCTGGTGCCGACTCAGCCGCAGTCACACGAGAGGAGTCCGCAGAAGCAGACGAGCGAGGCCAGTGGGAGGAGGCGGAGCTGCAAATCCGCACGCGGTTCTTCAAGGCGAGCCGCAAGCGCCTCTTCAGCCTCGCAGCCAAGGGCCTCTCCTCCTTCTCCCAACTCCTTGCTGCCGCCAGTGCTGCTGCTGCTGGGGCTGCTGCTGGCATGGGCGTGGGGGGTGTGGGGGTGAATGTGCTGGGTGGGGCGTTTGGGGAGGTGGAGGAGAGGTATGAGGTGGAGGGGGGGAAGGAGCTGGGCGCGGGGCAGTTTGGGGTGACACGAGTGGTGGTGTGTCGGAGCACGGGGAGGAGGCTTGCATGCAAGACCATCAACAAGGCTGCTTTCAAGGTGTGTGTTTTTTGTGTTCCATCTGTTTGTTGTTCTTCTCCTTGTCCCTTCCACGTGTGTCTTGTTGTCTGCCGCGTGTGCCTTGTGCTTCTTGCTTCCCCTTTCCTCCTCCCTCACATGCTCTCCCCCTTTTCTTGCTTCCGCCCCCTCCACACTCCAGTCCAAATTCGACATCGAGAACGTGCGCCGCGAAGTCGCAATACTGAACCTCCTCAAATCCCACCCCAACGTGATCCACCTAGAGGAAGCAATCGAAACCCCGCAAGCCATCCACCTGGTGATGGAGCTGTGTTCGGGCGGCGAGCTGTTTGAGCGAATCAAGGAGCGGCGGCGGTACAGCGAGCGGGAGGCGGCGGTGGTGATGCGCGCGGTGCTGGGCGTGCTGCAGAGCTGCCACCAGCGCCACCACGTGGTGCACCGCGACATCAAGCCTGAAAACATCCTCCTCGCCCACCCCTCCTCCCCCACCGACGTGCGCGTCATTGACTTCGGAGTCGCCGCGTTTCTCAAGCCCGGGGGGAAGATGCTGACACATGCCGTCGGGTCGCTGTTCTACATCGCGCCGGAGGTGCTTTCCGGGTCGTATGGGACGCCGGCGGATGTGTGGTCGGCGGGGGTTGTCCTGTACGTGCTGCTGGCCGGCGTGCCGCCGTTTTGGGCGGAGACGGAGGCGGAGGTGACGAGGGCGATCAAGGAGGCGGAGGTGGGGTTTAAGGGGTCGGCATGGAGGGGTGTTACGGAGAAGGGGAAAGATTTGATTCTGCGGATGCTGGATCGGGACCAGAAGAGGCGGGTCTCGGCACAGGAGGCTCTAGGTGGGTGCTGTTGGGTAAGATGGGTCTTCCTGTTGGGTAAGGTGGGTCCTGTGGAATGAAATGGGTCTTGTTGGACAAGTGGGTATGGTTGGATAAGGTTCACCGGAGGTACGTGGAAGCATTATGCAATGAAAGCTTCACGAGTCAGGTGTGAGGGAGGGCATGTGCAGGAACATGGGCTTGCGAGTGTGGCTCTTCTTGCTCCCACATACATTTTGTCTCCTATGCTCCCCCTTGTGTTCTGATGTGGGTGAGAAGATGCTGTTCACATGTCCTTTTCCTTCCTTTACCTTTCCCTCTTCTCCCTTCCTGTCCTGCCTTCGCCTCCCATCCTACTCATTCCATTGTCTCTCTTCCATGCCTACTTTCCATCGACTGCCTTGTTCTGGTTGCAGAGCATCAATGGTTCAGTCGTTTTCAATAAATCATTACCAAGGAACACTTGTCAAAATATATTTATGTGTGTTATGTTTCTTAGGCTAGTGAGTTGTATTGTATAGGGTACAACACTTTCTAGGTTAGAGTTAGTTATGTGTATCACCTTGTTACCTAGTTCACCACACAAATTTCCTCTCGAGATAGTACACAAAAAAACTTTCAAGATGTCATGCCTAAGAGTTGCTGCCACGTATTGAACCATGGCACCAGGGCTCAGGTTTGCAATGTAATTTACCCTTCTATACTGATAAGAAGGGTGAAATTTTCAGTCTACACTGATGGGCTGGGGTAAATTTTTGGGGGATTAGTGTTACACTGATTTGTCAGTGTAATGATTTAGGCCACACTGATGCTCTGGGGTAAAATTTCCCTTAGTGAAGATTGTTGGGAACAATAAGTCTTAAGGCGCCTTTGTCGTGTCGAAACTCAGGACACTAGCGAAGCAGTCCAAATCGAAGCATCGCGAGTCAACCCTCGGAGGTTGGGGTAACCGCCTGGAGGTTACGCGAAGGTCAAAGGTCAGCGACCTTTGACTTGACCAATACAGCGCGACAGCAAGGACACACAACTGACTCGACATTGAGTAGTTGCCCGAGTCGCACTGTATCGAATCGCAACAGTAAAACGGTTTAAATATATCTATTTGTATTCCTTGCACTCTTATATAAACCTTGTATTTGCTTGTCTAATCAACTTACTTTGCTCTCACATACTAGTGCAAGGTGGTTCAACCACTCTGTATTACAACGCTTCCGCTATTACAATCCTACTCAGTCCTTAAACTCTACAAAGATCCTAGGGCTTCTCAGCCCAACATGGTATGAGAGCAGTTAGAGTTTAAGATCATTTTCTCTCTCAATACTTAAATACAAAGAAAGAAGACATGTCTGCAAGGAAGGAGAGGAGCTCCTCCAACGGCTCCCCAGGCACTACTCCTACTCCACCTCCTGCCTCTGGCCTACAGACAGAGGAAGGCACTACCGCAAGACCAGCAGCTGGGTCCACGGAAACACCAACAGGCTTCGATTCAAACATGATGGAGAAATTTTTCTCCTTCATGTCCTTCTACGAGCAACACCAGCAAGGAGTGCCTGCGCAGTCAAACAACAGCAACAACAACAACAATGTTACTCCGATGAGCCTCGACGGCTCATCCTATGCACGCGGGATGCAACAACAACAACAGCAGCCTACCTTTGCGCCGTACGAGCCCCAACGTGGCTCCGTCAGCTTCATGCCGCAACCGCAACCTGCATCGGGACAAGAAAGGACATTGGACGCGTTACAAGTCCAATCGCAATTCGCGCACGTCCTAAAACTACAAACGACAAAGCCTTTCGACGGCAAAGATTTCTTTACCTGGTCGTTCGAGTTTGAACTGATGATGGAAGGAGCACAGATCCTTGGCTTCTTCGACGGGTCCCTGCCATATCCGACAAACAGGACACAATATGAGAAGCAGCAGTATACATATCAATCGATGATGGCGTACACGATTCTGCTGAGGAACATCACCCCAACCCAGCAGCAGAACATCAGGACTTACCGAGGCTACGGCAACTCCGCGGAGCTCGCGTACAACCACCTGAAGAACCTGTATCAAGCAACAGACAGCGTAAACCAAAGCAGGTTACTGGCGCAGTTGACAACGATTGAAATGAAACCAGGCGAGAAAGGCATGGCTTATATCAGCCGCTGCCGCGAACTGCGCGACAAGCTTCTTCGATGCGGCGGGTCAATTTCAGAAGACGCCTTTGTCACGGTGGTCATCGGCGGTCTCGGCCCCCACTGGCGCTCCACTCGCGCCATATTACGAGCACACGGGAGGATCTCCGAAGCAGCACTCTGCGCCGAAATTCATGCTGAGCAGCAGGACATGGACCTGCAAGAAGAAAGACACAAGAAGAAAGCTTTAGCACCAGAATTTGCTTTTCACACTCAGCGACGACACAACGGCAAAAACAATCGACAACAGCAAGTGAAAACGGTACCTCCGTTCTGCCACATCTGCAAAACCTCGGGCCATCCTCGCACGCATTGCCCGTCTCGTCAGACGACACCACAGCGACAACTGCGGCCTTAAAGCTCCCAAGTTGCTTCAACGCAAGCAAGTCCGACAACCACGATCCAAGCTTCAACGACTTCAACTGGACAACCTGCACAAGGAGCGAGAAGCATCGTCAACTGCATGGTATAGATAAACGATTGCCTGAGCGCCGCCCTGCCCTCGCGCGCTCTGTTTGCTGCTGCGCCGCCCTGCCTGCCCGCGCGCTCTGCACGCGTACCCTGCCTGCCCATCCGTGCGCTGCCCGCACACGCTTTGCCGGCCCCGCCAGTGCGCTTTGTCCACCCACGTGCTGCCCTGCCCCGCAAACGCGCTGCCCGCCAGGAGCCTGCGCCCTCCCCACACGCACCCCACATGCACCCCGCCTGCTCCCTACCCGTCCGATCTGCTACGCACTGCTGCTGCTGTCACTTCTGCAGTTGCTACTGCTGCATGCGCTGCTGCTGCTGCTGCTAAGCGCTGCTACTACTACTAAGCGCTGCTGCTGCTGCTACTAAGCGCGCTGCTGCCACTGCTGCTATTGCACGCACTGCTGCGATGTGCCCTGCCCGAGCCGCGCCGCCCTGCCAAGCCGCGCCGCCCTGCCGAGCCGCGCCGCCCTGCCCGAGCCGCGCTGCCCTGCCGAGCCGCGCCGCCCTGCCCGAGCCGCGCTGCCTTGCCCGAGCCATGCTCCCCTGCCCTTGCTTAGCCACGCTGCCCTGCTGCTGCCGCTACCACTACTGCTGTTATGGCTACTCCTACGTTGCTCAACTTTGATGCTGAGGGGCACCCGATCGATTTTGAGAACTGGCTCGAGGACGTGGTTCCTTAAGAGCATCACTAGGAAGGATATCTCCCTATTTGAGCATACCTCCGGATCTGTTGCTAGCCCTACTGAGACCACAGACCAGATAGTTTGTTCTCAGTGGACCGCTCATGACGCCAGTGTCAGCGGGAGTTATGGTTGGCCCCGTCCTTGCTTGGGCGGAGCCTACCTCGTGGTCGGGTGTGCGGGAAGTGCAGCCGACCGGCAGCAATGGGCGACGCCGTCTTGGGCGAGCTGGTCGACAAGTTTGGCTGACCTGCACGGGGCCACTGCAGAGCCGCCGACTTTGGGAGCCTGCGGCCGACTTTGGGAGCCTGCGGCCGACTTCAACTTGGTGGTCGACGAGGAGGACGTCGACCTGGGTGGGGCGCCGACTTCGGGAGGGCGCCTACTTCGGGAGGTCGACTTGGGAGGTCGACCTGACAGGGTGTCGACTTGGTAACGCCAACCTGGTGAAGCTGACTAGGAGTGTTCGGCTGGCAGATGTGCTGGTCGACATGGAGCTGGTCGACCGGGAGTGTCGTCGACCTGGAGCTAGTCGACAAAGGGTGTGGTCGACCTGATGAGGTCGATTGGAGGTGGTCGCCGACTGGGTGGTCCACGGGCACGTGAAGGAGCTGGTTGATGTGGTTGCCTGGTCGACCAGGTTACCTGGGTGACGAGGTTCTGCGGAGGAGTGCGACAGTCGCCCAGGTGGTTTTGGCGAAGCCGACCTCGGTGGTGGTATCCCAAGGTCGACGTCGACGATCAGATGCTGTTGTCAGCACGAGGTTGATTTGGTGTGTGCGCTGTGCAGGTGACGAGGCACAGCACTCCAATTATCTGCGAGCACATGCGAAGTAGGTGCGTTGCTGCTCTATGGGAACAACGCTGGCACGCCGTCGACTTGCAGAGTTGGCAAGCCGCGACTCTGCAGTGCTGGAGCGCAGTCGACCAAGTCGTGCTGGCACGCGGTCGACCGTGCTGTGCTAGAAGTCGACCAGCAGCCTTGCTAGGTAAGATGTAGTCTTGCATGCCAATGTCGTTGCTACCATTTTGTTCAGAACTTTTCCTAGTGGAACTCTTGCCAATTCTCCCCGTGAACTAGCAAGTAATGTGCGCACAAGGAAACGACTATGTGAACGAACGCAGAGATCCCTCCTACCCTGTGCCTAGCCCGTAGTCTAGCTCTCGTTGATAGAGTTATCTCCACAACTAGTACAGCACTTGCTGCCCATAACCACATTCCGCATGACCTGCGCTCTCATTTTTGCCAACTTATGATGGCCAAAGCGCTTTACGACGCTGTAGTCGAACGCTATTCCTCCCCGTCTTCTGCCACGATAGGGCGCCTGGCACTACGGTTCCTCTTTCCTGAGCTCGCCGGCTTCACCACAGTAGCCGACCTCATCACGCACCTACGCTCTCTTGACACTCATTACGGTGCTGCTCTAGATGCTGGCTTTCTGGCTGAGAACAAGCCCCCCATATATCTCACCCTCTACTTTCTCACGACTCGCCTCCCTGACACGCTTCGTGCTGTTCGTGATCACTTCCTCTCTCTCGACCCCACCAAATTCACCATAGACTCGTTTGAGAAGCGCCTCTTAGAGGCTGAGTCTGCTGCTCTAGCTATAGCTGCCTCTCGTGGTACTCCCCTCCCCTCCGTCTTCGAGGGGTGCTCTTCCTCCCTGCTCGTGTCCTCTGTTGCCTCTGCTGCTGCTGTCGACTTCCTTGGTGTTGAGGAGGTTGGTGCTGCGTCTGCTCCTGCTGGGAGGCGCAAGAGCGGCAAGGGCAAGTGGGGCAAGGGTGGGGGTGGTGGGGGAGGTGGGGGTAGCGGTGGTAGTGGCGAGGGCGTTCGTGGAGGAGGCGGTGGGGGAGGAGGGGGCGGTGGCGGCAGTGGAGGTGGAAGGGGTGGTGGGAGCAGTGGAGGTGGTGGAGGGGGCGGGGGTGGCGCTCGGGGTGGAGCTGGAGGGGGTGGAGCTGGAGGCTTCACTACACGCACTGTTACGTCTGGTGGTGCAGCCGGTGGTGGAGGCGGCTCTGGGGGTGGACAGCTGCAGCTCTCGTCGCAGCAGCTTCGGGAGTGGGCAGTCAGGCGTGGCAGCTCGGGTGGCCCAGCTCACTGTGGGTACATCCGTCGCACCAGTCACCCTGGCGCAGCTTGCACCCGCACTGATCACACAAAGTCTCGCTGCTTCTTTTGCCTTGACGACCTGTATCGTGCGGAGCGTGGTGAGCAGATGAAGACTCCTAACTCGTTAACTTTGTGGAAGAAGGACATCGATGTCTTTGCTTGTGATTGGGACATGATCCATGCTGGCATGTATGCAATATATGCTGCTTCTGCTAGTGTTGAGGGGGATTTCTAGAGTAGAGGCTGCTAGTCTTGGTGCTTTTGACTCAACTAGCAAAGGTGCAGAGCCTGAGGAGGCCGTGCACACTTTTACACTTGACTCAAGAGCGTCTCGTTGCTTCTTCCGCGACAGCACCATAGTCACACCCCTCACAGTCCCTGTCCTTGTCACACTGGCTGACCCCTCCAGGGGCCCGGTAGTCGTGCGTGGCGCCACTATTCTCCCTTATCCAATAGCCCCTTCGGGCCTCCTCACAGGTCTCCACCTCCCCTCATTTGCTAAGAACTTGGTGGCTACTTTTGTCCTCTAGGACCAGTGGGTCACTGTCACCCAGCCTTGAGGCGAGCTAGTGGCGATCTGTACGGACTCGTGCACTGGTGAGCACCTCGCCAAGTTCACTCGGAGGCCTGGGTCTTGCCTATACACACTGACCACTGAGTCTGCACTGGTAGGTGAGTCAGGTCAGGTAGCTGCGTTGGTTGAGGTCGTTGCGTCTTGCTCGTGTCGTCTCTTCACGCACCAGACTCTCCTCTGGCACCACCGTCTTGGCCACCCCTCCTTGCCACACCTTCGTGGCATGCACTTGCGTCTCCTTGACTCTGGGCTTCCTAGGTCCCTACCCCTGCTCCCGAAGTCGCTTGCGCCGCCGAGTCTTTCCTGCGTCGAGGGGCGGCAGCGCGCTGCTCCTCACTCCTCGTTTAGGGTCTTTCCTCCAACCAGAGCTCCTCTGCAGGCCTTTCACATCGACGTGTGGGGTCCAGCCCGAGTCCCTGGACATGGCGGAGAGCGCTACTTTTTGTTGTTTATAGACGACTACATGCGCTACACCACGGTCTTCCCCTTGCAAAGCAAGGCGGAGGTCCGCAGTGTTCTGATGTGCTGGATCCGTGCTGTCCATTGCCAGCTCAGTGCTCGGTTCTGTTAGGACCTCCCGGTCTTGCGAGTGCAATCTAACCGAGGTGGTGCTGAAGGCATCCGCCAGATGTTCACGCTTCCGGCCTCTCCACAGCGAAATGGGATTGTAGAGCGCCGCATTGGCTTGGTGATGGAGGTTACTCGCACCTCCATCGTCCATGCGGCTGCTCCCCAGTTTCTGTGGCCGTTTGTGGTCCGATATGCTGATGAGCAACTCAACCTCTGGCCCCGTGTCTCCCACCCGGAGACCTCTCCCACTCTACGGTGGACGGGCAAGTTTGGTGATGCGTCGCCGTTTCAGGTCTGGGGTGCCCTTTCGCTTGTTCGCGACCCCCCTGCGGGGAAGCTCTCTCCCCGCACTCTTTGCTGCGTCTTCCTTGGCTTACCTACCGACGCCCCGAGCTGGCAGTTTTACCACCCGGTTTCTCGTCGTGTTCTCTCCTCCCAGGACGTCACCTTTGACAAATCTTTCTGTTTCTACCGTCTCCACACCCACCGCAGTTCCCCCGTGCCTCTCCCGCCTCTCGCACTGGTCTCCGACCCCCCCCCTCCGGTAGCCCCATTCCCCCCGCACGGTCCTGCTCTCTCAGGTGTGTCTCAAGTTGACCCTTTCCCCTTGGTTGAGCTAGTTGAGGTCTCCTCTGACACCTTTGGCCCAGCTGAGGGGGGTGACCTGACTCCTGCTGCCACCGTGACCCCTCGCCGCTCTACGCGCTTGGCGGTCCCTCTTGGGTTTATGCCTTGACCGTCTTCACCGCCGCTGCAGCCTGTCGCTGTGGACTCTGGTGCTGCCGGAGGTGGTACCACTAGGGGTGCTGGTTTTGGGGGTGCTGAGTGTCCTCTGGGTACAGGAGGTATTGGGGGTACTGGTGCTAGTGGTCTTGGTACGAGTCGGTAGGAGGCTCTCTCGCCGGAGCGGCTTCGCGAGTGGGCTGTCCAGTGGGGCAGCCCTGGTGATGGAGCTAGCCATCTTCGAGCGGGAGGTGCTGGGACTACTGGAGCTGGAGGTGCTCACACTGCTGGAGCTGGAGGTTCTGCTATTGGTGGTACTGGTGCACGTCGGCAGGAGACTCTCTTGCTGGAGTGGCTTCGCGAGTGGGCTGTACAGTGGGACAGCCCTGGTGGTGGAGCTAGCCGTGCTCGTCCTACTAGAGCTGGAGGTGCTGGGACTCCTGGTGCTGCTGGAGGTGCTGGAGGTGCTGCTGCTGTGGGTGCTGGATGCTGGAGCTGCAGGTTTTGGAGGTTCTGGCCCTGGAGGTGCTAGTTCTGGTGTTCCTGGTACTGGAGACACAGGTGCTGCTGGAGGTACTGGAGGTGTAGGTGCTACTGGAGGTATTGGAGGTGCTGGCCCTGGAGGTGCTAGTACTGGTGGTCCTGGAGTTGGCCGTGCTGGAGGTACTGGTATTGGAGGCGGTGCTGACACAGGAGGTACTCATAGAGGGACTACAGGAGGTAGTGGAGTAAGTGGTGCTAGTCGACAGGAGTCGCTCTCGCCGCTGCAGCTTCACGAGTGGGCTGTCCGTTGGAGCAGTCCCGGTGGTGAAGCTAGTGGTACTGGTTCTGGGGGTGCTGTTGCTATTGAAGCTGGAGGTTCTGGGGGTGCGACTACTCAGCCGCAGCCGTCTGCACTTCGTCACCTTCTCAGTCTCCCTCTTGCTGCTACTAAGTTCCCGGTTGCTGGTACTACTCCCCAGTTATTGTTCCCACTGTTTGACCAGTCTCAGCCACAGCTACTGCCTGGCTCCCCGCTGCCTGCTCCTGCTCCTCACACTGAGGTGACGGCATCCCTAACTGCGCATCGTGAGCCTGAGACTCGTGCTTCCACTCCTGAGTGTTGAGAGCCTGGGACTAGAGCTTCTGTCCCTGCTCGTGTTCGTCGTCCTCGTGCTCCGGCTGTACCGGGCACTCACAATATGACACTCCGTCCTTCCTTTGTTCCATAGCGTGTTGTCCTGCCGTCACCTCCCGCGTCCTCTCTTCCGCACGTTCTTGACCCTGAGTCTGACCTTGTCCGTGCTGCCTATCCGACTGTTTCGTCTCCTTGCCACAGTTGTGACTGACCCTTCCTTTGAGTCTGCTGCTGCGTTTGCCTTAGTTGCTAAGCTTGTTGACTTTGCCGCTTTGTGCCGCCTTGACTACACAGCAAGTCTTGTCTTTGACTCTTCTTGTCCTCCGTCCGTGGGGGGTGAGCTTGCCCTTGGCTGTGAAGTCCTTGAGGACTGGCAGTTTGAGCTGGAGTGCCTCGCGACCGCTGCATTTTATCTCGTGTCCACGCTACTTTGCCCTTAGGGAGATCCGGATGCATTGGACATCCCGACCCCACGCACTTACGCAGAGACGACCACGGGTCCGTACTCCTCTCAGTGGCAGATAGCCATAGACGCAGAGATGGCTTCCTGGAAGTCCACAGGCACCTACGTCGACGAGGTTCCCCCACCTGGGGCGAACATAGTCGATGGCATATGGATTTTCAGGGTGAAGCGGCCGCCGGGTTCTCCGCCTGCCTTCAAGGCGCGTTACGTTGCACGAGGCTTCAGTCAGCATGAGGGGGTTGACTTCTTTCATACCCTCTCCCCCACCCCAAAGATGACCACTCTTCGGGTGCTACTGCACGTTGCAGCACAGCACGACTACGAGCTGCACTCCCTCGACTTCTCGACAACCTTCTTGCAGGGCAGCCTTCACGAGGCTATCTGGTTGCGCCGTCCACATGGCTTCACTGAGTCGTTTCCTGAGGGTACCCAGTGGAGTCTTCGGCGACCTGTCTACGGCCTACAACAGGCGCCCCGCGAGTGGCATGACACACTGAGGATTACTCTTGCGGCTCTTGGCTTTGCTCCCTCGACCTGCTGACCGACTTGGGTGAGCGGCCTCGTTCTCCTCCAGTTTTGGACGTCGACAACAAGGCCATGATTGCCTTGTGTCAGGACTAGAGACTGGAGCACAGAATGAAGCACATTGCTCTCTGTTACTTCCTCACGTGAGAGCCGCAGCGGCATGGTCAGCTTCGTCTTACTTACGTGGCCATACAGGCCAATACTGCTAATGTCTTCAACAAGGCCCTTGGTTCTAGTGATCATCAGCGTTTCTGCACTACTCTTAAGCTTGTGCCCACTCTGTCTCACTTGCTTATCTTTTGTCTTGCCTTGCACTTGTTGTACTCTGATATACATGATTATATCTGCATGTTTGCCCTTGCTAGGTTGTGATCAGTATACTGCAATTGCTATTATGAACTTTGCATGTGAACTGGCCTTGTTGTTGAAATGAATGAACAGGAATGATGAACTAACAGTGAAATCAGTACAAGTACCTAACCCTAGAATTATGTACCCCCTATAGGCTAACCCACTGTAGCCTAAACAAGCACAACATATATCATTTTTGACACACCCCCATAGGCGAAGTGGGGGAGAACTAGGGGTCACAAGACCAGTCAAGTAAAGCAAAGCAAAGCAAGCTCAGGGTGGATCACAAAGTCACCACACATTCCGAGCACAAGTTCAAGGCCACAAGGCCAGTTCACATGCAGGAGTACATATATATATAAGGCTAGACAAGCAAGAGCAGGTATATATATATGTAACAGTACAAGCAAGGTCAAGAGGTGAGCAAGTGAGGCAAGACAGGTACAAGACCCAGCTGGGTGCAGAAGCGCTGATGATGAAAGGCGCAAGTGCCTTGGTGAAGACATCAGCAGTGTTGGCCTCAGAGGCCACGTACGCAAGCCGCATCTGACCACGCTGCTGTAGCTCACGAGCAAGGAAGTAGCGGAGAGCAATGTGCTTTGTTCTGTGCTCCAGTCTCTGCTCTCGACACAAGGCCAGCATGGCCTTGTTGTCTACGTACAGGACTGGAGGAGAACGAGGCGGCTCTCCAAGGTCGTTCAACAGGTAGGTGAGCCAACGAAGCTCCTGAGCAGCCATGGCCCCTGCGTAGATCTCAGCCTCACAACAGGAGCCAAGAACAGAAGACGAGCGAGTAGCCCGCCACGAAACAGAGCCAGAACCAAGGCTAAAGGTGTAACCCTGTGACGACCGCTGCGTAGCCTGGTCGTCAGCCCAAGAAGCGTCTGCGTGACCAGTGAGGACCACTGGACT